TAATGAAGGCATTTAAGGCTACACAAGTTCTATTGAACTTGTAGTATTGCTTTTAATTTCCTCTTTGATCCAAGGCTTACAATTTTTAATTTCCAAGGATCTTAATTCAAGGAGCTAGAATTTCTCAAGTCATATTTTTATTTATTTCAAATTTTATTGGATTATGATATGAGAATGTGTCCTTATGAAATGTTTCTTATTTTGAATTTGTTAAGGATTTCTTTGAAATCAAGTACATTATTGATTCTCATAAAGGCTCCATGAACAAATGAAAAATTAATTGTATTCTCTATTTGTAGGATGCAAACTTCTTCATCTTTATTAAATTAAATTCATTGGTTATATATTCAATTTTTCCTTATATTTATTTTCCTTTATATCTGCCTAAATATGTGTATTATATATTTCTGTGTAACAAATTACCCCAATACTTAATGGCTTAAAACTACAAACATTTAGTATCTCGTAGTTTCTGTGGGTCAGAAATTTGAGTGCAGCTTAGCTGGGTGGTTCTGGCTTAAGGTCTCTCATGAGGTGGCAGTCAAACTATTGGCCAGGGCTGCAGTCATCTGAAAGGTTGACTGGGGCTGGAAGACCCATTTCCAAGATTGCTAACTCACATGGCAGCAGGCACAGCATTTCAGTTCCTTGCTGGCTATTGGCAGAACAGCCACATGGTCCTCTCCACAGGGTATCTGAGTATTCTCATGACATAGCAGCTGGCTTTCCCCAGAGTGAGTGATCCCAGAGAGAGAAAGCAGGCAGGAAGCTGCAGTGTCTTTTGTGACTTAGTCTCCTAAGTTGTACACCATCACTTCTGCTTTTTTTTCTATTCCTTAGAAGCAAATCAGTAAGTCCAGTCCACTTTATGGGGGTGGCAAATTAGGCTTCACCTTTTAAAGGGAGTGTCAAAGAATTTGTGGACATTATTTTAAACCAATAATTTCAATCTGAATAATTCACTGTATTTTTAAACAATTTCTTCTTGCATTTATAGTAAATATATGAAGCAAAAACTTTTTCTTTTGTTTATTGAATACAAGTTCATGAATTGTATCTTCTTCATAAAGTACCTTTTATTATGATGTAATGTTGCTTTGTGATCTGGTTTAGCTCTTTTAATATTAAATTCCACTTTGTCTAGTATTAATATTTGCATTTTTGCTTTCTCTTTGTTGCATTTACCTTGTTTTCAACCTCCCTTTATCTATTATTTTCATGTGTATTTTTCACAAACTATATATACCTGAGTTTTGTGTTTTAATGTAGTCAGGTAATCTTGGTATTTTAATGGGAGAATTTAACCCATTCACATTTTGTGTAACAACAGATATTTGTTGTTGTCATTGTTTGTTTTTGGTACCGAAACCCAGGAACAATAACAAGAGATATTTTTGAAAAATTTCCCTCTATTCTACTTTGTTTACTATTTATTTCACTCTTTTTTTTTATCGTTTTCCTTTTCTTTTTGCTGTTTTGCTGAAGTTTTCCTTTTTACTGTTGCTTTCTTTGGCATTTTTACTGTGTTTTTCCATTCACTAGGGGTTATCTTCCCATTCTTCATAGTTCTAATGAATGATGTATGTTTATATTTCTCAAATAGCTATAAGTTTATTCTTCCACCATTATCCTCTCTCTCCTCCAGTGAGATAAATGTATTTATTTTCACACTTTCCATGTATGTCCCCCATTCGGATGAGATTTGTAGAGAATTTTACTTTTCTCCCCTCACCTCCCCTGCAAATCCTAGCTATTGCTCATGCCATATTTTTAGTTCTTGACCATTATTAGCTTTTCCTTCATAGTATATTTCTTCTATTTCTAGAATCTTTGCTTAGTATTTAAATGCAAGTTCCACATTACCACAATTGATTTCTATTTAATTATATATTGCAAGGTTCCTTGTTCACATCTATATTTTTTCCTTTTGGTCTTTCCCTGGCTTAATGACTTTTTATTGTTACTGCTGTTATTTGGTTAGAATATTTTCTTGAGTGTTTTCCTCTATGGGGCATGTGGGTGCTATAGTCTCTGAATGCAAGCTACTTGAATGCAGGGACTTTGTATTGTTTACTTCTGTGTTTCTAGCATCCAAAACTGTGTCTATGTACATAACCAATCAATACACGTTCATTGTTTTTGTGGTGTTAGTTCACTACATATTCACATATGTCTTTCTTCCACCCTGAAGAACATTTATGTTGTTGTTGGTATTTGATCCTTTACACATCTGCACATATTTTCTGACCCTGAGAAGTTAATGATGTCTTGGCCAATATCAAATTCTTGGTTTATAGTCCTTTTCTCTCTTTAATTTGTGGATTCTATTCCACCATCTTCTACCTCCCAGTACTGCAGATGAGAAGTCTGATGCCAGGATGATTCTTTTCCCTTTGTAACTTGTTCTTTCTGTCTGGCAACTTCTAAGACTTTTACCAGGTAATAGGGATATTTTTTCCCCATGAATTGTGCATAGGAATCATGAACTCTTTCAAATGTCAGGCTGAAGTCTCTTTTAACCATAGAAAATTCCCTCTCTTATTTATGTAATTATTGCCTCTTCTCCATCTGTTCCCTTTTCCTGATTCTGGAATGCTTATTATTGGCATATTAGTTCTCTTGGCTCTGAACTCTAATCTCTTACTCATTCCTCATGATTTCCATCACTTTGCTTTTTGCTCTGTGTGAGAGATTTTTCATCTGCTTGCTCTTTCAGGTCAATAATGTATTTTCCAACCACTCTTTCTTTTAGATAGCTCTAACCTATTGATATTTTAACTTTGAATAGCACATTTTTAATGCCAAGAATTATTAACTTTTTGTTCTTTATTTTATAGTCCTCTTATTATTTTTTTAAAATAAAGTTGTCCTCTGTCTCCTCCAGCAGTCCTGTCTTTTAGGGGGACAGGACTTTAGCAGAGCTGATTGGTCTGCCTCTCTCTAGTCACTGGAGCCCCTTAACTACTAGGTTATTTCCATTTTTTATTTTCTGCTTAAGCTTCTCCATAGTTGGAGGCACAACAGTTTCTACTCTTGCATCAAGAGTGTGAGAGGAAGTCTCTATATTCCTAGGTGCCCCTAAATGCAAGTGTTAGTGTTCTTTTAGTTTCATAGATATAGAAGAAGTTCCCCTACACTTTTTCTAGTAAGATCCAACTTCTCCTCCCCGAACTAGGACCACACATCACTTAATCAAGGGGTCCACAGGTCCCCTCAGGCCTAGTTCTTCTATGTTCTCATCCCAGCGCTCTCTGCTCTTGCTCCTCTAGCCCCTTTTAGGCCTAAACATCCCAATAGAGCCTATAACCTTCAACACCCCTCAGACTCCTCCAGCTTACTCATCCCGGCCAGCTGAAAGCTGGGGGAAGGAAGAGTATCAGAGATGCAGAATCCTTCCCCTTTTCTTTAAGTTTTGATGAGCAATAGCTTATATTTTTGCAATTGGCTCACACTATCTAAGCCGGTGTGAATGAGGTTACATGAATTAATGTGAAAGGAAATGTAAAATAACGGGATCTTAAAATTAGAAATAACATGGTGGTCATAATAAAATGAATCTTTTAATTTGTATTGTGCTTTATGGTTTTCATGCACTTTTATACACACAGTCTCATTTTGAGTTCCAAAGTAGCTCTGCGTGGTAAGTATGGAAGTTATCATCCATTTGAGGATGAGGAAACTACAGCTGATAAAGATGAAATAGCTTGCCCAAGGACACGTGGGTAATAGTGGAGTTGGACTAGAGACTAAGTCTTCTTATTTCTGGCCCAGAACACTATACCACTGCTTGCTTGTTTGTTTATTTGTTTCCAATAGCCTTCAGAACATGCTACATTGCATAATGATTTCTGGAATCCCTAAGTTATATGTTGCAACTTGTATTATATTTTTTCAACTATTTCTATTATATTGATATGAACAATTTAAAATGTATATAAATACTAGGATGGTGAGTATAAAGTAATAAGATTTTCTTATATAGTTTGAAATCTAACAAAAGAGGAATTTTAAAATACTTTGAAAAAGATTAATGTGACTATAATATGTGTATTATTTCCTGACAGTAACTTTTTTGAAGGAGGACCTACATTTGCATAAATGAGTACTTAAATTTTTCTCTTGGTAATATGTTTTTTAAAGATTTGAATTTATCTAACTATGCAATAGAAATGCACTTGGCCATGCACTGGTAGGCATGACATGTTTGTTTTGTCTTAGAGTTTAGTAGTACAGAAGTGAACAAATCAATAGCTATTACAAAGAGCAGAGCTTTGTCCTGATCCCAGTTCTTTTTCTTGCTAACACTGTGTTTAAAAGTATTATCTCATACTCTGGAGTGATAATCAAAATATTTAACAACAAATATGGCCTGGTCAGTGAGCAGTCACTACCTTCCAGCTATCAGCACCTGGTGTAATTGTGTCAGAGTGTACTGGTGGTATACCAGCCCTTCTCACAGTGGCACGGTACCTGACACTTTCCTGGGTACTTTCATATCCATAATCTCGTTTGATCTGGGGCAGGGTGTGGGGGGATATAGTGTCATCCTCTTTTTGAAAATTGAGGGAATCACAGCACAGAGAAGTTAAACGTAGGGCCCCTTAGAATGGAAGACTTTTGGCTCTTAGTTCAGTGGTCTTCCTTGGGTAGAAGTTTCCCTCTTTTCAAGGGAGAAGGAAGAGATGAGAGTAGCTATTTTTGATAGGACAAATATCAGCTCCTTTCAGAAAAAACTCATAGTAGGTGGTGGGTAGAATGAGCAGTCCCCATCGCCCCTGGAATCTTCCTGTCCCAAGCTGATTCTTCACTTCCAAGGTCCCCTGCAGGAGATGGCTGCCCTGGAAGAGTGAATCTGGCTCAAGCAAGTGAGCAGAGTTTTCTCAGTGGAAGAACTGACTCAGCTTGTTTTCTCCATATTCACAGGGACATTAAATACAAAGCCTTACTTTAAAAGTACATTCTTTTAACTGCTTGTTTTTCCTCCTCTCCTCCTTCCACAGAATGGTCTCCCCTCAGGGAGCAACCCATATGTTTTTAATGGTGATTTTGTAGATCGAGGAAAAAATTCCATAGAGATCCTAATGATCCTGTTTGTGAGTTTTCTTGTCTACCCCAATGACCTGCACTTGAACAGAGGGAACCATGAAGATTTTATGATGAATATGAGGTAACCTAGGCCTTTAGATTTCTTTTGTTTCCCATTCTGGAAAGTGTTGCCATGTTTAGTTCCTAACAGAGAGTTAGAGGTGAGTGTAGAGAAGTAGGGATGAGGGGACTCTCAAGGAAGACCTCAACTCTTACCCTGATTTACCACCCCCAGTCTTCTACTGAGTATAAATTGCTCTGAAGTCCCCTTCTTACCTTTTCTTCCAGTCCTATCTTTGCTTCTCCCTTCTATTATGTTCTTTCTCTTCCTCCCATGCCCACCCTCCACAGGCCAAACTGTGTGCCAGGTAGACATGTTAGGCCAGGCTTGGAGGTGTAGTAGGTTCTATGAGCAGGTTTAGATGGAATCATTCTGTTGCTACTCTTTTGGCTTGCCTGAGATGTTGTCTCAGAAACTAGTACTGTGTTTTTCACTGATGTGTATATTTTTTATGACATGGTGATTGCTTCTGGCACAGTTGTTCGTAAACATATTTGAGAACAGCTGTAACATAGCATTTCAACTATCTGATTCACTGGAGATTTGAGGAATAAAGATTGGTTAAATAATTTACCAATTTTTGCTCAAAGGTATAGTAGGTGACAAATGTTCCCCTTTCCCTTCTTTCTTCCCCATTCCTCCTTGTCCCCCTCTTCTTCTCTTGTCCTCTTCTTCTTCTTCTCCTCCTCCTCTACCTCCTCCTCTTTTTCTTTTCTTTTCCCTTTTTTTTTTGTTTCTTATTTTATGAAAAACAGAATCCAGTTTGCTCTAGGGCAGTAGAAGGCATGGCATGTTTCATGTTTTTGGCCCTGGGCTTTTGAGTGCCTTGATCAAAGCTCAGCAACTGATTAGTTTTGTCTTTGGGGCAGTTTTGGCACTTGGCTCAAGAGTACAGAGTTTCAATTCGAATTCTTAGGTGTGGAAGCAAATGCTAAGACTATGAAGAAAAAGATCCCAAGGCTATTATCAGAAGCCCATTATATATAATATAGCTCAATACTTTTATTTGGGCATGCCATTTATCCTTCAATTTATTCAGTTAGCCAATCATATTTATCTAGTGCCTACAATGGTTAATGAAAGAGACATGGCCCCTGCCCTCATAAAGTTTATATCTAGCAGGGAAGACACGAGAGTTGAGCAGATTTTTCAAGTGTGATGAATTTGTAAATTGGGGGATCCAACCTGTCTGAGAGGTGATGGAAGGTTCTCTCATAGAGGCACTGGCTATACTGGCATTAGCCAGACCTGAAGGATGAATTAGGAAATCAAGAGAGGGCCATGGCGGGGGGATGGGAAACAATGTTCCACAGTGGAGGGGCAACTTATACAGAGCTTGAGAAAAGACTTTTTAGACTTGAAAGAAGTTCAGGAGGGCAGGAGCATAGACTGAAGGACAGGATGTTGCCTGGTAGGGCTGAAGACATAAGAAATAGTTGGATCATGCAAAGGAATTTGGACTTTCTTCTGAGGACAAGAGAAAATTATTAAAGAGTATTATAAAATTTGTATTTTAAAATGCAGCAAGAAGAGTAATTTGGAGATGGGCAACAGTAGATACGGGGAGGCCAATTAGGAAGTAGTTGAAGCGATAGGTGATGGAGTCTCACTTAGACTAGGATGGTGGAGATGGAGGTACAAAGAAGTAGATTCAAGAGGAGTTTAGGCAATGATGATTTAAGGCTTGGTAATGTGATATGGGGGACTTGAAAGAAGAGAGAATCAAGGATGATCTCCAGGTTCCTGGCTTGAGTTTCAGGGTACAGCAGCATCATTCACTGATATTGGGAACATGATAAGAGGAAAAAGTTGAGATGAGGGAGATTGATGAATTCAGTTTGGGGTAGGACGATTTGAGGTGCTGTTGAGTAGGCAGTTGAGTATATGTGTCCAGAGCTCAGAAATGAAGTATGGCTTGGAGCATTGTCCTGCAATATTGACACGTAGAAAGTAACTGAAGCCCATGGCAAGGATGAGATTGCCAAGGGTGAAAGCGAAGGCAGAAGTGGGCCTAGGACAGAATCTGAAGGAACTCCAACATTTAAGGCTGGGTAGAGGAGAACTTGCAAAAGAGATTCAAAATAGCCAGAAAGGTGGAGAAAACCCAAGAGAGTTTACTGTCTCAGAAGTCAAGAGAAGAAAAGTTTTCCAGAAGGACTCTGTAGTCAGTTGTATTTAGTGTTTCAGAGAGGGCAAGAAAGATGAGGACTGCAACGTGTCTATTGGATTTAACAACACAACACCCTTGGTGAATGCAAGACTGAATTCATCTCGGAAAACATCATGTAGAAACCTGATATGACGTGATTGGCATGGAAACCTGGAGTTAGTATGTGGTGTTCCGACTTCACTGTGTTGGGTGTTAAGGGTGTATATTATTATCCTAAGGGAAGGAAAAGTAATTGGAAAAAAGTTCCATCATTAAATCTCCCTTAGTGACTGCTACTCAGACATTAAAATTCTTGACACTTTCTATTAAAACCTTCAATACCATTACATGGTATTTATATCAGAGAGAATATAAAGAGCCAACTTGTTATCTTCTAGGCTTTTCTTTGTCTTTGTTCAGTCTTTTTGTCCCCCCAATCATTCATTTACTATAAGATATAAGATGTCTGAGAAATTCTATGTAAATGAAAAGCATTCTCCCACACAGCTTCCCCCAGCTGCCACAGCACACTTCTCTGAATACTTGCAGCATTTACACAACTTATGCCTACCACGTATTTCTTAAGTTGTCTTGTAATTGTTTCATGAAAATTTATCTTCTTTCTATACTGTACTATACTATAATATACTATACTGTAAGCTCCTTGAGGGTAGGGAGGATGTCATTGGCTGATTTTGTTTTTTCCCCTTATGCCTAACAAAGATTTGGGTAAGTAATAGTCAGTGCCAACCAAAGTCTAGTTTCTTGAGTTCTTGTGATAGTGAGATGTCAAGGGCTCCCCATTTTGCGTGATTCATGTAAGTAGGAGTTATCAACATTTAATTAAGCAGTTTAAATCCCATTTTTTTTTTCAGATATGGCTTCACGAAAGAAGTTTTGCTTAAATATAAGGTAAGACATACACTTTTTTTTTTGCACGCTCTTTGCTGTTTATATATAGAAGAAAAAAAAAGCCTTCAGGAAGGGTGATGGGAGAACTAGTCAGAATCCATGCCAATAAAATAAAAGCACAGCAGGAAGCCCTGGCCATGGTAGAGACCTAATTTTCTTCCTGGACTAAACCAAGCTTTTTCATTGTAACTTTTGTGTAAGTTTCAGCATTGATACAAACATATTCTATTGTTTTAAAGGTATCTGGGATTTGTTTTACTCAGGTGTGGTAAAACATGCAGACATGGAAATGACTGTCTTTGAGGAAAAGGTTTTTACTCATAGTTCCCTAGAAACAGGAGGCACAGCACACCACACTGAGGGGCCATGTGGGGAAGCACCAGAGTTGGGCAGAGGCAGAGGGAGCAAGGGAGAAAAATGTGGGCAAGAGCCTTTATTGTGCTTTCTGTGGGAAGGAATGGGTGAGGCAGTGTAAGCAGGTTTAGGATTGGCTAGTTTGAATAATTTCAGCAGGCTCTGGGGCATAGAGGTTGTCCAAGGTTGTCTGGTACCTGGCCCTGGGGTGATTAGGGGAGGGGAATGAATAGTGGCCCTGAGTGTGAGAGCTCCATAAAGGAGGTGGTTGGGAATGTGGGCTCTGGATTGGTTGGTTTGCACATGAAAGGCGAGTTGTTTACTATCTCTAGGAATTAGCTAGCCCCGGGGAGGAGCAGCCTCTCCTCCAGGATCCGCAAGAAGCCAAGATGTCAAAGTATCAAAAATACAGAATCAAAAGACATAATTAACACATGCTTGTGGGTTAGTGACTCCATGCTGGCTTCCTTTGGGTGGCATGAAAACTTGCTTTTTGTCCATATATTGAGACTATTCAATAAACTTGAACCTATCAGAAAAACAAAACTTAACTCAAGCTCTAACTTACAGCTACATGGAAAAAAAATCTTAGAACTCTTAGAAGACGTCTATACCTGGCTTCCAATTGGTACAATCATTGACAATGAAGTCCTGGTCATACATGGTGGGATATCAGAGTCCACAGACTTGAATTTACTCCATCGTATAGAAAGAAACAAAGTAAGAAGCAATGTTTACATGAATCTTGTCTCAGAGATTTATAAGGGAATATATACGTCTTTCCATTTATTATTTTGTATTCATTTGTGTTTTAGTGGTTGTAGATCTGAAAAGATTAGTATAGATTTTAAGAAAATCTATGATTACATGATAAAGAACTAAATGGGTAACTTATATAAATGGAAAATATTTTTTTTTAATTCATGATGAAAGTGGGAAAATGAGGAAATGTTGGCATTTCACATAGTTTCTAAAAGTAAAAAACCCTGATTTTTAAAAATTAAAATCTCTAATTAATTAATATTGTGGTAAACTATACATGACATAAAATTTACTACTTTAACCATTTTTAAGTGTACAGTTCGGTGGTATTAAGTACATTCACGTTGTCGTGCAACCATCACTACTACCAGCACCATCTATTTCCAGAACTTTTCATCTTCCCAAACAGAACTCTATCCATTAAACAATAACTCCCCATTCCCCCCTCCCTCCAGCCCCTGCCAACCACCATGCTACTTTCTGTCTCTATGAATTTGACTACTCTAGGTACTCCATAGAAGTGGAATCATTCAGCAATTTGTTTCTGAATTGATATGATTTCTCTTATAATATACTCCAAATGGCTCAGGGTATTTTGGGGGGGGGGAATCTTTTAAACCCAAGTCATTGTATGAAGTACAACAGAAGCAGAGCAGCAACATGTATAGAACCTCCAAGAGAAGTGGCTGTGTGGGGCCTGGAAAGCTCCCACACTTAGTGAAGGGCTCCTTTGGCTGGGCCTTGCAGAGTGACTGGAGTTGTCTTCCTTCTGTACCAGAGCCCAACCGAAGCCGTCAGACCAGGGGCATAGCAGGTGTCACGTGGGCATGAGGACCAGTAGCCACTCTGGAGCCAGAAGATTGTATATGGTCCTAGAGAGAAACCTGAACCCTTACCCCTCAGGGACTGATAATCAACTTCCAACCAATCTAGGCAGGAGGGGTCTAGAGCCTGAATTTAACTTGATGTAGATAGAAATGTGACCTCTCTTCACCTTGAGTGTTTGGAACCTTTATACACATATGAATGATAATATTGCTGCTAATTTCTTCTCATCTTTTTAATTTCAGCTTAAATATACCCCTCCTCTGGAAAGCCTTTCACAGCCTCCACACTAGATCAGGTCCCCTTATATATGCTCTCTAGCCCCTTATACATATCCTTCATAACAGTTACCAAAATTTAATAAGGAATTATGGTACTGTTTGTTTACTATCCTCCCCTGCTTCTCTAGTTCACTGATATAACCCCAGCACCTAAGATGTAGTAAGTACTTAGTTAATGTTCGTTGACTATCTCCTAAGACACTTAAGACCAAAGCAGGGCAAACCTAAGACAAAACTGGATAGGAACTTTTTCACAACCCCTGTCCTGATTCTGTGGTAATTTTACATACTCCCTCCCCAACCTCGCCCAGTGATGACCATACTTACTGGTTTACACCTGTTGTCCTGGTGTAATTGTTAATAGTGCCTTCTTTTATTCTCAAAAGTATCCCATTGCAATAAATTTTAAGGCCACTCTAAGTTTAAGGCATCTTTCTCATGATATTAAGCAAATAGTCAAGCCAATAAGACGTTTGTATCAACATGAAATAGTCAGTTTTAACATAATGAGTGGATATGATTCTAGCCAAGAGCAAGAGAACATGGTGTTTTTCTCAGTCATATATTGGCAAGCACATGGCATGAATATGACACCCCACCACCACCACCTGCCCTATGACAACCATGCTAATCAGTCATGGCAGCCACTACCAATTGATCAGATTGAAAACTTTTCCTGAGGTTAGCCTGAGCAGCTAGCCCTCTACAGGGCTTTGTGAGATATTGAGAGCTTGTCTTTGGAATGTCCATTACTATTTCTGTGGAAACCCCAAGTTGAGAGCCATCTTGACCTTGTAAACAATCTCATTGTTTATGTCAAACAGACGTAGCTAGCTTTACACCCTGCTCTGCCACTTCCTGGCTGGGTGAGTGGGCAAGGTGCTAAAGTTTTCTAAGCCTCAGTTTCCACAACTATACATTTAAGCTAAAATACCTACCATATTGAATTGTTGGGAGGATTAAAAACAATTACCTAGATGAAGAAAACAGCATAGAGTGAGCTCTGAACATAAAGCTCTCTTCTCCAACTCTCTCCTCTTTTTCCTGATACTTGGAACTGAGGTTTGAATTTCAGTCACCAAGACAGACCCTGGGGAGAAGTTTTTGGGCCAGGAATTGTCCCAGGATACCTCAAATTTCACCCCTTTTGGAGATCATTGTTCCACCTACTCATAAGACTGGTTTTAAAGATAGAAATTTGTCTTGCATGTTTTTTGTGTCTTCTGTCCCCTAGAGTGAGGTTGAACTGGCAGCACATAGTTGTTGTATTAAATATAATTGAACTATAATGAAAGTAGTAGGTTCAAGCCTTTGGAACTCTACCAGATGAGATACAAAAGTAGATTTTCAAGTCCAATTTTATAACCCCCACTAGCCCATCTTTTAGGACCCTCCAAGGGTAGGGGTGGCCGTGCTTCCTGGTTTACTCCTGTTGTGGTGGTAGAATTGTTAATAAGGGAGGGGTAGAGCTAGGGGAATGTGATGATAACCTCCATTCTAGGTTCATTAAAGGCATTTTGTAAGGTAGGCAGGTTGGCGAGTCAATGCAAAGGGACAGAGAAGGAAGGTTCTATAAGATTAAGACTCTGATTTAGTATTCTTCAAACTCCCTGGCAGGGGCTAGATGAAAGGATGGCTAGTAGGACCCCCAGGAGAACATGATAGCATAATGCCTTGTGGGGGCTGGGGCAAAGTATCCTGATCTCAAGTGGCCTAGGAAATAGCAGAGCCACACGTACTTAAGAGACCATGTGGATGGATGGAAACTAGATTTTGGTGGTGAACACACTGTAGTTTATACAGAAGTCGAATGATGGTGTTGTATACATGAAACTTATATAATGTTATAAACGAATGTTAGCTCAGTTGAGAGAGAGAGAGAGAAAGAGAGAGACCATGTGGCCCTCCCCAATGAGCTTATCAGAAGCAAATTGTGTGGACCCAAGTCCAGAGTGTCTTCCCAGAATATTCTGCTCTGCCTAAGACCTGGGAACATTTGCTGGGGGGAGATGAGGAGGATAGGCTGTGAACTCACTAATAATAGCTGAGATTGAATTTCCAACCATTTCAATGAGACAGGACCTCAGAATAAGATTCAATTTTATTTTTGAAAAATAAAGGTAAGATTTCATATACACCCTAGTTTATAGAAGAAACTAAGTGCCTACCGCAGAGAATTGTCCATCACTGAACTAAGGCCGCCAATGTAATGGAAGTATTGTTTCAAATTGTTTTGTATAAAGGTATGGTGCTACAAAGAAACAGTTACAAAATTACAGTCTTGAGTTATGTAAGGGAATGAAGAAGGGATTATAGTAATTGATGTACTATCAGAAAGACATCTTATTTTCCAAAGAAATGCATCACCTTTGTTGCTAGGATTAGAGAACATAATCAATTGCTGGCAGGGTCAGATTGCAAACCACATTGCATTAAAGTTGAAGGGCTTCCAAAGTTTTCAACTTCTGTCCCCTTTGAGAACTTTCCTGGACACAGGTGTAGTTTCTTTCATTTCTCCTGGAAAACACAACAAAATGAAAAGCAGCCACCGTCTTAACAGCTGTTTCTGAACTCAAAGCCTGTCGGTTCTTTCTTAGCCCCATGTATGGATAAAGGCTCAGAAGGAGACTAGTTTTCCATCAGCATCTTTCATTTCCTATGATGATGCTTCTGACATCTGTGCCTCTGGGGTCCCTTAGAAACTAATGGGAAACTTTTCCTGTAGGGCAGTGTCTCAAGTTGAAAAATGTAAAAACAGAATTTAACAGGCCCACTTTACAGAGATCAGTGGATCAATAAGATAAAGGAGGTGGGTGAGATGGAAAAGGTGACCATGTGTTTTTCATTGAGTTGAGGCACAATATAGACAGAATGGCAACTGGTACTGATGTTTCTGTGTGGAGCACTCTAAGCATAGAGTTTGGCGAAAGCATGAATTTGTTTTGTAGATGAAATCTGTGCTGATGCCACCAATTCCAATAGATGGAGACCATTCTACTGACTTGAAGAAAAATAAAGTAGGTACAACCACTATGCCTCAGGGAATCAGAACAAATGGATCCTTTTCTGAACAGTTAACAAAGCATGAATGGGAACAGGTAGGTAATCAAAGTGTTCACCATAATGGCAATGAAGACGCAGCATAGATGATGTTGTCCCTTACAATATATAGGTTAAAAGTGACTTACTTTTATAAGCAGATCATATCCTTCTCTCTGAATTCATCACTGTATTTTTAACAGCTTTATTAAGATATAATTCACATACCATATAATTCACTCATTTAAAGTATATAATTCAATGGTTTTTGGTATATTCACGGTGTTGTGCAACTATCACCACAATCTAATTTTAGAACATTTTCATCACCTGAAAAAGAAACTCCATACCTATTACCAGTCACTCCTCATTCTCTCCCCAACCAGCACCCCCTCACCCCCGCCACAGCCTTAGGCAACCACTAATCTACCTTTGGTCTTTATAGATTTGCCTATTCTAGACATGTTCTAGAGATGGACCTGTACAATATGTGATCTTTTGTGTCTGGCTTCTTTTACTCTGCCCAATGTTTTGAGGTTCTTCCATGTTGTAGGATGTATCAGTACTTCATTTCTTTTTATTGCTGAATAATATTCCATTGTATGGATATACCACTTTTTGTTTATTCATTCATTGGTGGATGGACATATGGGTTGTTTCCACTCTTTGGATGTCATGAATAATGCTGCTATTAACATTCACATACAAGTTTTTTGTGTGGACATATGTTTTCATTTTTCTTGGGTATATACCTAGGAGTGGAACTGCTGGGTCATAAGATAATTCTAAGTTTAACATTTTGAGAAACTTTCAAATTGCTTTCCCAAGTGGCTGCACCATTTTACATTGCAGTCACCAATGTTTGAAAGTTACAATTTCTCCACATCCTCACTAACAATTATCTTCTATCCTTTTGATTATGACCATTCTAGTGGATGTGAGATGGAATCTCGTGGTTTTGGCATTTCTCTAATGATTAATGATGTTGAGCGTCTTTTCATGTGCTGATTGGCTGTTTGTATATCTTCTTTGGAGAAATGTCTATTCAGATCCTTTGCCCATTTTAAAAATCATTTATCTTTTTATTATTGCATTATAAGAGTTCTTTATATATTCTGGATATAATCCCTTATCCCTTATATTATTTGCAAATATTCTCCCCTATTCTGCGGCCTATCTCTTCCCTCTCTTGATGGTATTATTTGCAGCACAAAAGTTTTTAATTTTGATGAAATCCACGTATCTATTTTTTCTTTTTTGCTTGTACTTTTGGTGTTGTATCTAAGAAGCCATTGTGTAATCCAAAGTCATGAAGATTTATTCCTATGTTTTCTTCTAAGAGTGTTATAGTTTTATCTCTTACATTTAGGTGTCTGATTCATTTTCAGTTACTTTTTGTGTATGGTGTGAGGTAGGTGTCCAAATTCATTCTGTTGCATGTGGATATCCAGTTATCCCAGCACCATTTGTTAAAAAGACTATTGTCATTGAATTTTCTTGGCACTCTTATCAAAAATCAATTGACCATAAATATAAAGGTTTATTTCTAGACTCTTAATTCTCTTCCATGATCTATATGTCTATCCTTACATCAGTACTATACAGTTTTGATTACTGTAGCTTTGTAGAAAGTTTTGAAACTGAGAAGTGTGAGTTCTCCACCTGTGTTCTTCTTTTTCAAGATTGTTTTGACTATTCTGCATCCCTTGAATTTCCATATGAATTTTAGGATCAGCTTGTCAATTTCTACCAAAAAACAGTTGGGATTTTGGTAGGGATTGCCTTGAATCTGTGGATAAATTTGGGTATGATTGCAATCTTAACAATATTATATCTTCAATTCCATGAACATGGATGTCTTTCCATTCATTTATATCTTTAATTTCAACAGTGTTTTGTAATCACACACACTGAGGCGCTTGTTTTGTGAAAGTTATTCCTAATTTATTTCTAAGTATTTTCGATGCTATTGTAACTAGAATTATTTTCTTAATTACATTTTGCATTTTTCATTGCTGGTGTATAGATATACGATTGACTTTTGTATACTGATCTTGTGTTGTTAACCTTGATAAACTTTTTTATTCATTCTAATGGTTTTTAGTGGATTTCTTGGGACTTTCTATATGTGCAAGAGTGTGTTATCTGTGAATAGAAATAATTTTACTTCTTCCTTTCCAATCTGCCTGTCTTTTATTTCTTTTTCTTGCTTAATTGCTCTGTCTAGAACCTCCAGTACAGTGTTGAATAGAAGCGGTGAGAGTAGATATCCTTGTCTTATTCCTGATATTAGGGAGAAGCATTCAGTCTTTCACCATCAAGTATGTTAGCTGTTTGTATATTAGTTGCCCTTCATCAGATTGAGGAAGTCCTTTTCTGTGCATACTTTATTGAGTGTTTTTATCACAAAAGGGTGTTGGATTTTGTCAAATGTTTTTTCTGCATCTATTAAGATGATCATGTAGTGTTTGTCCTTTATTCTATTAATATGTTGTATTACATTGATTGATTTAGATGTTAAACCAACCTTACATTCCTGGGATAAATCCCACTTGGTCATGGTGTGTAATCCATTTTATATGTTGCTGGCTTCAGTTTGCTAATATTTTTTTAAGGATTTTTACATCTATATTCATAAAATATATTGTTCTGTAGTTTTCTTTTCTTATGATGTCTTTGGTATTAGTGTAAGATTGGCCTCATAGAATGGATTGGGAAGTATTATCTCCTCTTCCATTTTTGGAGGAGTTTGTGAAGGATTGATATTAATTCTTCTTCAAGTGTTTGGTAGAATTCATCAATGAAACCATCTGAGCCTGGGCTTGTCTTTGTAGGAAGTTTTAAAATTACTGATTCAATCTTCTTTCTTGCTATACTTCTATTCTGATTTTCTATTTCTTCTTGAGTAGTTTGTATCTTGGTAGTCTTGATAGTTTGTGTCTTCCTTGAAATTTGTCCATTTCATCTAATTTATCTAATTTGTTGGCCTAAAGTTGTTTGTAGTATTCCTTTATATATATATAACATATATAAATATATATTTAAATTTTTTTAAGAACTATATATTTAAATATATATATATATTTTTAAATTTCTGTAAGGTCAGTAGTCATGTCCCCCCTTTCATTTCTGATTTTAGTAACTTGAGTCTCTCTTTTTTTTCTTGGTCAGTCTCACTAATGTTTGTCAATTTTATTGATCTTTTCAAAGGACCAACTTTTGGTTTTATTGACTTTTCACTATTGTTTTCTATTCTCTCCATTTATTTCTGCTCTAATCTTTATAATTTCTTTCCTTATGCTTACTTTAGATTTAACTTGCTCTTCTTTTTCTAGTTTCCTAAGGTGAAAGTTAATGTCATTGATTTGAGATTTTTTCCTTTTTACATGAAGCTGTAAATTTCCCTGTAAATACTGCTTTAGCTCCATCCCATAAGTTTTGCTATGTTGTGCTTTCATTTTCATTCATCTCAGAGTATTTTCTAATTTCCCTTGTGATTTCTTCTTTAACCCATACGTTATTTAGGAGTGTGTTGTTTAATTTCTGCATATTTATGAATTTCCCATATTTCCTTCTCTTATTGATTTCTACTTGAATTTGATTGTGGTTGGAGAACATACTTTGCATGATTAAAATCCTTTTAAAACTTATTGAGGCTTTTTTTAATGGCCTAGCATATGGTCTATCTTGGAAAATGTTCCATGTGCTCTTGAGAAGAAAATGTATTCTGTTTTTGTGGAGTAGAGTGTTTTATATATATCTGTCTTTGAACATATTTATAATAGTGGCTTTGAAATCTTTGTCTGCTAGCTCAACATCTAATCCCCTCAAAGGCAATTTCTATTGCCTGCTTGTTTTTCCCTGTGTATTTTTTTTCTTTGCATGTCTTGTAATTTTTTTGTTGAAAACTGGACATCTTAGGTAATATATTGTAATAACTCTAGATAGTTATTCCCATGCTCCTCTGGGACTTGTTGTTGGTATTTGCTTTTTGGCTCATTTATTTCTTTAGTGGCTTGATTGGACTAGTTCAGTGAAGTCTATTCCCTCTCAGTGTGTAGCCTCTGATGTCATTCCTCACAGGGTGCTGCCTTGGGCATGCACTCAGTTTCCCTGACTACCAGAGATGGTTGTAGTTTTAGCTAGGCTTTTTTTATCTCTTTCCCTGATTTCCCCTTTAAGCTTTGGCCCATCTGCCTCTATTTGTATCAGATCTAGCTATTAGCCTTCACTAATTGTTAGCTGATTGCACTATTGTTTTTAACAATGCCCTGGGATTCACAAATACCTCTACAATCTGATCCAATTAAAGTTGGACTTCTTTGCAGGGGCAAGGTGTTGACAATCTTTGAGGCTTATTCTGGTCCCAAGAGGGCTCTTCTCATCTGTCTGTTTCCCTGGTTCTGGCTGTTAAAACTTCTAACTGGTCTACTGTTGCTACTAGTGTCATGGAACTACTAGCCTTCTTCTAATTGCTTACCCCCAAGAAGGCTCTCTCTCTTGATTCTGTACCCTTATACCTTGATTGCTGAAAATGTTGTGATTGCTAAAACGTGATTTCTGATACAAAATATACTCTAATCAATGAGGAGAAAGAGAGGTGGGGGATAGAAAGGGAGGGGAAGGGCTAGTAAGAGAGAAATAGAATTCATCACTGGCTTGTGCATCCAAGGTATTTAAAAATAAATTAAGTGTAAGAGGCATCCTATAGCAAGTAGGAAAGGACGCCTCCTTAAATTTTGACATCCAAATTCCAAAGACCGAAGGTTAAAACAAGCACTTCTAGGATTATGGTGAATAAAAAGGATGATGTCAAAGAGATTGGAGTTGCACAAAAAAAAAATTGTGGCCTCTGGAAGCTTAGATGAGTTAGACTTATAGAGAGATGGAACCTTAAGAAGTGGGAAGGACAAGACTGGGGGTCATTATTCTGTAATACAACCTCCCCCTGCCCCAACAATGTAGATGAAGCATCTTACAGACTCCGTGGTACACGACTGGAGCAAACGCAGGGTAAAATTGACGAGAATCTCATTCCCAATGTTTTAATAATTTTAATTGTACCCTTAATTTTCTTTCCTCAGTTCCTGGTATATAGTGGATATGCACACTTTAGTTAGCTAAAGTCGAAATTTCCAGATAAAAACACATTTCACAATTACTTTATTTCTTAACACCTATAAGCTATAAGATCATAGACTCTTTATTTGTCCCATACTCATGGAAGTGCATAATTCTTGGCAGAGTGCTATAATTTAATTTTATCTTATGTTCACTGAAGTGTGGGGGATATATGTACTCATAGCTAAGTCATTGTTTAGACACAAGTGTGATACTCTTCCTTTAGGACAGACTTGAACAAGAAGGAGGCCAGAGAGGTTTAAAAAATAATTTTAATTATTTATATCCTGAGTGACTCCCTTGTCTTCAGTCATTCATTTAACAAGTATTTATTGAGCACCTACTATATGTCAGGCAGTGTTCTAGGCTTTTGAGAATGTCAGTGACCAAAGTGCTATTACCTCATGGAGCTTACATTCTAGCCAGAGGAGTTAAATAATAATATAATAATAAGCAAGTAAATGATATACTATGTTAAGTAAGAAGTTCTATGGGAAAAATTAAAACTAGAACAAGGTTAGGGAAACAGGAGAACTGGAGGTAGGGGACAGAGTTGCAATTTTAAATAGGATAGTCAGCCTCATTGAGAAGGCTCCCAAGAGTGAAATGGCTTGTTTGTAGTAACTTGGCTAGTCACTGAATGATAGAGCAGATTTGTCCCCAACTCTCATTCTAACGCCCACGCTCTCTCTCTGAAGGGAAGGATGACTTAAGAGTAACAGGAGGTCTCAAGAAGGAAATGAACTACTCTAGTCTCCTCTCAACCAACGAGGCAATGGGTAGACAAGGAGTAGGCATCTAAAGAAATTTAGGTACTTGGCTGGAAGGTTTGGGCTGAGCACAGCTGTTCAAAAGCTGAAAGGAGGACACATAACTAAGAGAAAATACAAAAGAATAGTGAATCTATAGTATCAGTGTCTTAGAAGAAAATCATTTACATACATCTTTCAGAGCTATTAACTCTCTCCCAAAGCATACTTTTGGAAACTGGATTACTTACAACTACAGACAAACATAGGGCACTTCTTGCAGGATTTATTTTGGATTTAGGAGGTTTAAAGGCTGAGATACAAATAGATTTTTGTTGACCAGGTCATATAAAAGTTGTCATTCAGTAAAACTTCCAATTTTTGGTTTGAAAAATTTCAGGAAAGAATATTGTAAATAATTATTCTTTCATGCACTTGCGACCCAAAAGGCCCTTGCATTTCAGAGGAGAGGATGTTGTTGAGAGGAAAGAGATTGTCCCTGCTGAAGAATTTGTTTCATCAACAGAGGCATCTTTATAGAATTTTTTGTTTGTGAGCCTCGGAATTAAATCTATGTTGTGGCCACAGTCTGGGTAAACCTAGTCAAGTGAATGAATTCTAGATAGAGAAAAGAAATGCAGAACTCATGGAGTGGATGATTCTGAAGAAGTTTATTTCTATAAAACTGATATCCCTTGTGACTTTGAATCAAAGAAAACTGAGTGTTAGATATATCTTCCTCATTTCGCTGAGGAGCCGATAAGGCCTGAATAGGTTTAGTGATTTGTCCAAGCTGACACAGGTGACACTTGAAGAGTTAACTCCTTAGCCAGTGCTTATTCTAGTTCAACAGAGTCCCATCATATGTACATTTAATTTATGTAAATTTTAACTGTATGCATAGGGCAAAAAGGAGAAAAAAGTGTAAAATTTTATTTTCAGACAATTTATCATATATTATGCATTCACATATATAAAATATTCACACATCCATATTATTGTATGGGGTTGTATATACAAAATCATGTATACTGTGCTTTAAGGGTAATTTAAGAGGTTTTTCCAAGGGTAATTTTTGCTATAAATGACTTGCATCTCATGTAGGACTTTAAAACTTAACCCCCTCCTTATAAAACACAACTCCTCGTGTTCCATGTTTCCTCCTTCATTATACTAAAGGTCAAATCATGTCCCCCAAACATGAATTCATGGTGTAAGAGCCAGATATGACTCAATTTAAAATGCAAGTGTTATTTTTGTCATAGACACCAGCAAAGTAAATGGGTTGGATTTATTTGTAGGGTAGGGTGGTGCCAATGTCATAATTCAGTGGGAGAGAAAGGAGAATTCTGCTCTGAATTTTCTTTGGGTGGTTTTAATTCTTACTTCAATCAACCATCAAAAACTCTGCAAGTGTCTGGTATGTGCCTGGTACAGGGTTTCTCCAGTTCTAATCAGCTCCTTATTATTCCAGAGTAGCTTTCCTACCAGTTCTGTTCTTCTCTCCACCTCACTGTCTTTTGCCTCACTTATTTCTAGCTCTCCTTCAATAACAAACCTATAAATGGGTGTACAGTCAGGTTTAGTGGGACAGCCTTTTCTGGTCCTCTTCTTAAGACCTGATTTTGACCCATTAGAATAACTGCACAACTTAAAATGCATGCTTCTTCATGCCCTCAAAAGAAACATGGAAAATGCAGACTCAGAATCATAGTCTGTTAGAACTTTTACATACTTTACAAGTCATCTGGCCTAAATTTCTGATTTTAAAGATCTCAAAAATGAGACCCAGAGAGTTTTCTCAAGGTTGCACAGCTTTAGTGACAAAGCTAGTTTTTCTCACTACTGCTTAAGCTCCTATAGGAGACATTTAAATAAAGAAACAGTATACATAGATCAGAGCCACAAAGAAGGTGCCCCCAATTTTCTGTGAAAAATATTTTTAGAAACTTGGGTCTTCGGTTCTGGGCATCATGTGGCCTGCATTTGCTTTTTTCAGCTGCAAAAGGAAATTTTATGCTAATAAAATACTTGTGGATTTAGGAGAAGACATTGTGGAAAGCAATCAGTGACTAAATGTATTGCTGAAACTGAGAATGTATTTATCAAGGGGGCAAAAAGTGAAGGCGATGCTTTAGGAGGTATTCTTGGATGAACAGCTGTCTATATTTATAGTGGGGAAAAAGCAAAGGCTTCCTCATGCCATGTACTCAACAGGATGAAAACCAGGGCCAAAGCCACAGCTGGGAGACCTACTTTATCTCTTTGAATATAGTAAGAACACCTAATGTGTGTTCATTGGTGGGAGCTACTTTCTCCTTTGAACATGACAGCGAAGTTCTTTTAAGAGGATAGACCTTTGTAGATTCAGCAACTATGAAACAAGTGTGATGGAATTTTTAAAGACAAAAAAAAAAAAAAAGCCAAGGGCTGAATCTTTATGATTGCTAAGTATTGCTACATTGGTTATTGCTATCACTACATTGATTATTGGGGATGAGCAGAAAGGGATTGCGGTGGCTATGGGCATTAAAATTATTCTGAAAAGGATTCGTGGAGATGAGTATGAAACAATTTTGAAGGAGGAATGAGAAATAGTAAGACTTTGGGATAACTTGGGTTAGTATTTCTGGCACAGAAGTTAGAATCTGGAAAGATAGACTCTCACTTGTAAGTAGCAGCCTAATCTGATTTGTTATTCCAAGGTTGTCGATATTCTGTGGAGTGATCCCAGAGGCAAAAGAGGCTGTTACCCAAACACAAATCGAGGAGGGGGCTGCTATTTTGGACCAGATATTACCTCCAAGATTCTTAATAGATACCAGTTGAAGATGCTCATTAGGTCTCATGAATGTAAGCCTGAAGGGTACGAAATCTGCCATGATGGGAAGGTAAGCTAACATTGTTGGTAATGTCATCACAGATATCCTTCCCCGAAGCAGAGTCTTTCTTTATAGGATGTGTCTGACCTGGAGGCCCATGGGAAGATGTTTTCCCTGGTACCAAAACAGAAGGCCATGCTTTGGTGGACAGAAACAGGAGACTGTAGGGTTTACGTAGGTTGTTTGTAGAGACCTCACTGTCCCTCGTGCTGAGAGATATTTGCTTTATTTCTCTGATCTTCCCTAATCGCAGAAATTCTGACACATGACACCAAGTACACACATAGAAAGGCTTTGTTCTTTACTAATCGCAAGGCAACTCTCCAGTACAGTGGGGTTAAGACTGTACTTATCCTCACAGAGCACATAAAAGGCAGCAGTGAGCCCAGTTTGCTCTCTTCCACCTTTTGTGCTTTCCCTGTGTAGGGCAGAGCCACAAAACACACTTCCCTTCTACTCACTGAGTAGGTGATCTCTAGCAAGTCGCTCGCTGTGGTCGGTTTAGCTGCAGCCACTAAAATGGACTGTGTTGTGCTCCTTCAGTGGTGTCTGATAAGGCTAAAAGAGGGGAGGATTGAGGAGCTGGTTTCTTGTCCCCGATTGTCCTTGGATGCCCCTTTTTCTAATAGTGAACAGCAACAAATAAAAAGGAATACCAAATTATGTGGCATTTCCTTCTATTTCAACACTTTCACTTTTCTTAACTCAGTTCATTTGAGGCTCATAATAACATTGTAAGATGGTTAAGGCAAGTATTATTTAGGATTTCTTTGTAATAAGCAAAAGGAGAGAAAATAGCAGTGGCTTGTCTGAAGTGACATGCTCATTAGGGCAGGACTGGTTTCCTGTCACAGACTAGTATTACCCTCCCATCCTCCATCACGGTCCCAAGGCTGGTTCCTTCCCAACGGAGTGGTGCTGTGTGGTCCCTTATTCTAGCCACTATTTCTCTGCCCTTAAGGCACTGGTTTTGTGTGAGGCCCTGAGCCCTCTAAATAAGTCAGCTCCAAGTGAAAAAAAAAGACTGTGATACTAGACAAGTTTTATTTAGAATGTTCAAGTATCACAAGGAAAGAAAATAAAGGCTTTGCCCCCTTGGAAAATTAGAATTTGCAAAACCGAGCATTAAAGAGGATTCTAAGATATGGAACTAAAACTGTACACAGGATTGCAAGGCCATGCACTGCCGGGATGAGTGGCTAGAAGTTAGCACTCTTGGGGACACTGATTTAAAAGCCTTGTTTCTCTCCAGTGGAATCACAAGAAATCCTGTCACTCTTAGATAATTTGTATGGATTTTGAACTTTGGTTTTTGCTTTTTAAGAATTCAGCTATTTCTGACTTTATTGAAGAACCTTTTGAGAACTAACTCTATGTGAACCTGACCCTCTTTTTCTTTAATCAGGTTGTTACTGTATTTTCTGCTTCTAATTATTATGAAGAAGGCAGCAATCGAGGAGCTTACATCAGACTGGGTTCTGGTACGGCCCCTCGATTTTTCCAGTACCAAGTAACTAGGGCAACGTGCTCGAGACCTCTTTACCAAAGGTGTGTATACTCTGAGGAGAATTCTGAGCACTGGTACTGGTGATCAAGTAGAACCAGTCCAGAGTGACTAAGAGCAGCCACAGGAGTGAAGACAACTACTTAGTGGTTGCTCATTGGTATAAACAAAATCAAAATAGTTCCAGACACCAAGTGGTGAATGCACTCATATTTGAAACCAAGAGGAGCAATTTTCAATTCATACATCTCTTTATATGGATAAAATATCTACAAACAGTCCTTAATTGAATATAAAGAAAAGAAGGTAGACGGGCCCAGTGGCATAGTGGTTAAGTTCGCCCACTCTGCTTTGGCAGTCCAGGCGTGGACCTACACACTGTTTATCAAGCCATGCTGTGGCAGGCGTCCCACATATAAAGTAGAGGAAGATGGGCACAGATGTTAGCCCAGGGCCAATCTTCCTCAGCAAAAACAGGAGGATTGGCAACGGATGTTAGCTCAGGGCTAATCTTCCTCACCAAAAAAAAAAGAAAAGAACGTCCCCACACCCACCCAGTCCCATAACCTACAGCCTTCTCTGCCCCGCAAACAGCCCAATCTGCTCTTGCCTCTTCGTTTATTCTCTACCCAGAAGTGTATATGACAAAAGAGTTGAGTGTGTCTCTCCATGTAATGGCATTCTTAGCTTATCTTCCTTTTCTCCCTTTAACATTATCTTTTTTAGATTTTTTTCATTATAAAATGAATATGTTATTGTTAACAAGTGAGACAAAACAAAGATTTATAAAGAAAATGTTAATGATCTTCTCGCCCCCTCCTTCTCAATAATCCTTTTCCCAGAGGCAACTGAAATTAATAGGCTGAAGTGGACCCTCCCACCCTCTTCTCCTTGCTCCTACAAAAATAGACAAGCAATGATTCATTCATTGAATAAAAACAATTTTGAGCACCTACTGTGTGTCAGAGACTGTTCTATGCACAGGTGATATAGCAATAAACAAAATAGGCAAAAGTCCTATCCCTCATGAAATGCATATCCCAGTGGGAGGAGAAAGGCAGTAAACTGTATATGTACTTTTTTTTTTTTTTTAACACGGATAGAATCCCACTGCACACTCTCTTCTGCAACTGACTTTTTTCCCTAAAGATTATATCGTGAACATCATTCCAAGTTAGTACATATAGACCTAACTCATTTTTTTTAGTAGGTGCATAATACGCTGTAGTATACATGTGCCATAACAATTATGGAGTGACTAATTCTTATTCAACTGATGGCCATCCAGATTAGTCCTAGGGTTTTGTACTTAAAAACAATGCTATAACAAACATACCTCTGTGTGTGTGTGTGTGTGTATGTGTGTATACATACATACAGACACACATATATCCATAAGTTTTAGTGCTTTTTTTACGTAAGATTTCAGAATGTGGGATTTGTGGATTTATATGTTTAAAATTTTGCTAGATACTCCAAAAGAGTTGTAACAATTAACAATCTGAAAAACAGCATACCAATATCTTTACATCCTCATTAGTCTCAGATATTATTACCCTTCTTAATTTTTGCCAAGCTGATGGATAAAAATAGTAAATCTCATTGTTTTAATTAGCATTTTTTAGACAATTGAGTTTACCCATCTTATGTTTTTGGATATTGCATTTTCTCTTCTTTGAATTTCCTATTTATATTATTCCTCCATTTTATATTGGGTTGTTTGTCATTTTCTGATCATTTTTTAGGAGCTCTTTGCATATGAGGGAATAGAGGATTTTTATGGGCATGTTGTGTATATTTTGTTGTTGTCTTGACTTTGCTTTAGTTCTATGAAATTACATTTATTTATAATTTCATTATAACTTTTGGATTTTCGCCTTTGTTAGAAAAATGTCTCCACACCAAGTTTATATAAATATATATAAATTAATCTCAAATTTATTTATTTTACAGCTTTGTTGAGATATAATTCACATACCATAAAGTTTATCAATTTAAGTTATGCAATTCAATGATGTTTAGTATATTTACAGAGTTGTGCAACCATCACCATAATCTAATTTTTGAACATTTTTGCCATCCTCAAAAGAAAACTTGTACTCGTTAGCAGTCACTCAAGTAGTCACCTACCCCATCACAACTCTAGGCAACCACTAATCTACTTTCTGTCTCTATAGATTTGCCTATTCTGGACATTTCATGTAAACGAGATCACACAATATGTGGTCTTTTGTGATTGGCTTCTTTCACTCAGCACAATGTTTTTGAGGTTCATTCATGTTGTAACATGTATCAGTACTTCATTCCTTTGTATGGCTGAATAATATTCCGTTGTATGGATATACCACATTTTCTTTGATCATTTATCAGCTAATGGAAATTTAGGTTGTTTCCACTTTTTGGCTCTTATGAATAATGCTGTTTTGAACATTGGTGGACAGGGTTTTGTATATACATATGTTTTCATTTCTCTTGGGTGTATACTTGAAAGTGGAATTGCTGGATTATATGGTAACTCTATGTTTAACATTTTGAGGAACTTGTAAGCTTTTTTCTCAAGGGACTGCACAATTTTACATCCCCACCAGCAATATATGAGAATTAGAATTTCTCCACATCCTTGCAACCCTTGTTATGATCTGTCTTTTTGGTTATAGCCATTTTAGGGGATGTGAGGCAGAATCTCATTGTGGTTTTGATTTGCATTTCCCTAAAGGTCAATAATATTGAGGATCTTTTCATGTGCTTATTGGACATTTGTATATCTTCTTTGGAGAAATGTCTATTTCAGATCCTTTTTCCATTTTTTGAGTTATTACTCTTTTTTTTTTTGTGAGGAAGATCAGCCCTGAGCTAACATCCATGTCAATCCTCCTGTTTTTTTTTGCTGAGGAAGACTGGCCCTGGGCTAACATCTGTGCCCATCTTCCTCCACTTTATATGGGATGCCGCCACAGCATGGACTGACAAGCGGGATCCGAACCCGGGCCGCCAGCAGCAGAGCACGCGCACTTAACCGCTATGCCACGGGGCCGGCCCCAAGTTATTACTCTTTTTATTATTGCATTGTAAGAGTTCTTTATATAGCTTATATACGTGTCACTTATTAGATATATGATTTGCAAATAGTCTCTCCCATTCTGTGTGACGTCTTTTCCCTTTCTTTATGGTATTATTTGTAGCACAAAAGTTTTTAATTTTGATGAAATTCAATATATCTATTTTTTTTTTGCTTATGCTTTTGGTGTTGTATCTAAGAAGCCATTGTCTAACTCAAAGTCATGATGATTTATTCATGTTTTCTAAGAATTTTATAGATTAAGCTCTTACATTTGGGTATCTGATCCATTTTGAGTTAATTTTTGTATGTGGTGTGAGGTAGGGGTCTGACTTTATTCTTTTACATGTGGACATCCAGTTGTCCCAGCATCATCAGTTGGAAAGACTATCCTTCCCCCATTTAATTATCTTGGCACAAAAATCAATTGGCCATAAAGGTATGGGCTTATTTCTGGACTTTAAAATGTATTCCATTGATCTATATATCTGTCCTAATGCGAATAACACACTGTCTTGATTACTATAGCTTTATAGTAAGTTTTGAAACTGGAAAATGTGAGTCAAACTTTGTTCTTTTTTAAGATAGTTTTCGTTATTCTGAGTTCCTGGCATTTTCATATGAATTTTAGAATCAGCTTGTCAACTTCTGCAAAAATGCCATTTGGGATTTTGATAGGGGTTATTTTGAATCTGTAGGTCAGTTTGGTGGCTATTGCCATCTTAACAATATTAAGTCTTCCATTCCATGACCATGGAATATTGTTCTCTTTATTTAGATCTTCTTTAATTTCCTTGAACAATGTTTTGTGCTTTTCAGTGTACAAGTCTTGGACTTCTTTTGTTAAATTCATTTCTAAATATTTTATTCTTTTTGGTGCCATAGTAAGTGGAACTGTTTTCTTAATTACACTTTTGGATTGTTCATTTCTGGTGTATAGAAATACAATTGATTTTTGTATAGTATGCAATCTTGATGAACTTGTTTATTAGTTCTAACAGTTTTTGGTGGATTCCTTTGGATTTCCTATATACAAGATCATATTATCTGTGAATGGAGTAGTTTTACTTCTTTTCCAATCGTGGTGTCCTTTATTTCTCTTTCTTGCTTAATTGGCCTGGCTAGAACCTCTAGACCAATGTTGAAAAGAAGTGGTGAGAGCCGATATCCTTGCCTTATTACTGATTTTAAGAGGGATGCATTCAGTCTTTTATCATTAAGTATATTAGCTATGTGTTTTTTGTAGATACTCCTTATCAGGTTGAGGAAGTTCTCTTCTATGCCTCTTTTGTTGAGTGTTTTTATCATGAAAGAGTATTGGATTTTGTCAAATACTTTTTCTGCATCTATTGAGACAATCATGTGGCTTTTGTCTTTTATTTTATTAATATGGTCTATTACTTTGATTGATTTCAGATGTTAAACAAACCTTGCATTCCTGAGATAAATCCCACTTGTTCATGGTATATAATCCTTTTTATATGTTGCTGGATGCAGTTTGCTAGTATTTTGTTGAAGATTTTCCATCTATATTCATGAGAGATATTGGTCTGTAGTTTTCTTTTGATCTTTGTCTGGTTTTGGTATTGGGATAATACTTTCTTCATATAATAAGATGGGTAGTATTCCCACCTTGTCTATTTTTTGGAAGAGTTTGTGAATGATTGGTATTAATTCTTCTTTAAGTGTTTGGTAGAATTCACCAGTGAAGCCATCTGGCCCTGAGCTTTTCTTTGTGAAAAGTTGTTTGATTACTTATTCAATCTTTTTACTTGTTCTAGGTATGTTTTACTTGTTCCAGGAATATTTCTAAGAAGAAATATTCTATTTCTTCTTAGTCCGTTTTGGCAGTTTATATCGTTTAGGAATTTGTCCATTTCATCTAGGTTATCTAATTTGTTGGTGTACGATTGTTCATAGTATTTCCTTATAATAATTTTATTTTTGTAAAGTCAGTTGTGATGACCTCTCTTTCATTCTTGATTTTAGAAATTTGAGTCTTCTTTCTTTTTTTCTTGGCCAGTCTAGCTAAAGGTTTGACAACTTTATTGATCTTTTCAAAGAACCAATTTTTTGGTTTTGTTGGTTTTCTCTGTTGTTTTTCTATTCTCTATTTCATTTATTTCTCCTCTATTCTTTATTATTTCCATCCTTCTGCTTGCTTTGGGTTTAGTTTACTCTTTTTTTCCCCTAGTTTTTGAAGGTAGAGATTATGTTATTGATGTAAGATCTTTTTTTTATAATATAGGCATTTATAGCTTTAAATTTTCCTCTAAGCACTGCTTTAGGTGCATCTCGTATGTTTTAGCATGTTGTATATTAATTTTCATTCATCTTAAAGTATTTTCTAGCTTCTCTTGTGATTTCTTCTTTGACCCATTGGATAGTTAGGATTGTGTTGTTTAATTTCCCCATATTTGTGATTTTCCCAAATTTCTTTCTGTTATTAATCTCTAATTTATTTCTTTTTTAGTCAGAAACGATACTTTGTATGATTTTAATCATTTTAAATCTACCGAGGTTTATATTATAGCCTAGCATAAGGTCTATTGTGGAGAATGTTCCATATGTGCTTTAGAAAAATGTATATTCTGCTGTTGTTGGGTGTTTTAAACATATCTATTAGATCTAGTTAGTTTATAGTGCTGTTCAAGTCTTTTATATCCTTTTTTATTTTCCACCTAGTTGTTCTATTATTGAAAGTAGAGCATTGAAGTCCCTAACTATTATTGTTGAATTGTCTATTTCTCCCTTCAATTCTGTCAGTTTTTACTTTGTGTACTTTTGGGCTCTGTTGTTAGGTCAATACGTGTTTATAATTGTTTCATCTTCTTGACTGATCAACTCTTTTATCATTATAAAATATTCCTCTTTATCTCTAGTGACAGCTTTTGTCTTAAAGTCTGTTCTGTCTACTATTAGCATGCCCACTTTAACTCTTTTATAGTTGCTATTTGCATAGTATATCTTTTTTTGTCCTTTTCCTTTCAAACTTTTTGTATCTTTGAAACTAAAATGTGTTTCCTGTAGACAACATATAGTTGGATCTTTTTTTTATCCAGTCTCACAATCTCTGCCTTTTGATTATTTAATCCATTTGCATATGATGTTATTATTGATATGGTTGGATTTACATCTGCCATTTTCCTTTTTTGGGGGGGTATATGACTCATGACTACTTTGTTCCTCTGTTCCTCATTTTAAATTTATTTTTGTAAATGGTCTGAAGTAGAAGTTTAGCATTCAGACAGTTAGCTAACTATGCTAGCACCATTTTAAAAAATTGTCCTATTCTACTGAATTGTCATACCTCCTTTGTCATATATATTGTTCCATATATAGTTCACTATATTTATGAAATTTCTATTATGTTCTACTTATGTATCTGTCTTCTCTCTTTTGTTTCAGTAATTTTATGGTAAATTTCAATATCTGTTATAGCACGTCCCTCTTTATTTTCCTTCTTCAAAATTGTCTTGTATATTCTCAGACATTAATTGTTCACATGAATCTTTGAAATCAAAAAGAAAACACCAGTGGTAATCCTTTTAAAATTTCACAAAACATGCACACACTTACATACATATACACACATTCACCACCTAGTAACATGGTATGTGTGAACTTAGACAATTCATCTAAAGTAGAAACTGGTAAGTGGTAACATAGCACATTAAAATGAAACAGAACAGGATGATTTATGTAACTTTTACCTAATAATTGTTTTGTTAACATAGGGTGAATATTATTGAAAGTAGTGCCATCAGGATATTAAAAGAGAGAATGATTTCACGAAAAACTGACCTCATTCGTGCTTTCCAACTTCAAGACCGCAATAAATCAGGTAATAAAATTATGTAATGCTTACCATTTCTTAACATACCAGGTTACATACAGATCAGTTTTCATTTTCTTTGCTTCCTTAAGATTTCAGTTCTCTATTTTTACTAGTGAGGAATGATAGAGATAAAAATAAAATATAATCCATCATATGCTTGGAAAAAGGCATATTCCTCCTTTTCAGTAAGCTTCTTTTGACTTAAAAAAAAGAAACAACAACAACCCTGATTTAGATTTCTATTCTGGTAGTATGTCAGACTAGACACCCTGGAAGGCCCTCCTGTTAAGAAACAGCTAGATTCTAGAAGATACAGAATTTTAAAGCATTTACCAGCCTCACAGTAAGATAAATCTCTAGGCTGCATCTCCTCTCCCCATGAAAGGTCTTTTGAAACCACATGTGGGAGCATGGAGCAGAAAGCAAACACAAAAGGCTGTATTTTCCTGGGGCCAAATGCTAACATCAGTGTAGCAATCAATCCTGAGACTAACCCATAAGATAGTAGAAAGATGGATAAGCTGAATTTGAGACTTCCACATTAAGCCTGGCCCTTCAAAATGGCTAAAGTAGTCCTGCATCTGTAGTGCCCTCTGACTCCTAGCAAGCAAATGCAAATTTATCTTCATGGGAAGCATCCCTAATTTTGGCCACTAGTATATCCGGAGATTAAGATCAACCGTGAGCTCACAACCAAAGATCACTAAACAAACAAGGAGACAAGCTATCATGAGTAACAGTAGAAACAACAAACAACAGATTTTGTTCCCCAAAGACATCAGATATTGGAGTTATCAAATACCAAATAAAAAATAACTAAGAAATGTTTAAAGAAATAAAAGATGGAATGCATTTGAAAATGATTTGAAGAAGAATCAAATAGATATAAAGATATACTTGTTTAAAAAAAACATGATGGGTGGGTTAAGCAGAAAATTAGACACTGCTTAAGAAAGAATTAGAAAGATTAAGAGTTATAAACAGTAAAATGAGGTTTAACATACATCTAATCAGAGTCTCAAGAGGAGAGAATGTAAGAGAGGATATATTTGACATGATAATGGCGCTGAGACTTTTCCAGAACTGATGAAAGACTCAAATTCACAGGTAAAGAGGAACAATGATTCTCCAACAGGATAAATAAAATTAAATCCACACCTACACACACTGGTGGTAAAACTACACAGCACCGACAGCAAAGAGAGCATCTTAAAAGCAAGCAGAGAGGAAACACACATTGCTACAAAGAGACAACAATTACACTGATACCAGACTTCTCAACAATTGCAACAGAAGCCAGTAGACAGTGGAATCATATATACAAAACATTGAAAATAAAATGTAGAAAAGACATAACATGAAAACACTAACAAAAGCAAAATCAGAACAGCTCTGTTAATATCAGACAAAGTAGACTTGAAGGAAATATACATTACTAGAAATAAAAAGGGATACTTCATAATGATAAAATATTCAGTTTGCCAATTGAATCCATTATAAATGTGTATGCACCTATTAATATAGCCTCCAAAATATGTAAAACAAAAATGGACAGAACAAGTAGGAGTATAAAAATCTACCATCATAGTGGGAGATTTTAATACTCCTCTCTCAGGAACTGAAAGAGTAAACAGACAAAAAGATTAGCAAACTTTCCCTAAAAGACATACATAGAATGCTGCACCCAACATTGCAGAATACACATTCTTGTCAAGCACAAATGGAACATTTACAAAAATTGACTGTAAACTGGAACATAAAACAAATTTCAACAAATTTTGCATTGGAAACATACAGAATAAACTCTCTGACATAGTGAATTGAGCTACAACTCAATACATAAGGTAGCCAAAAAATACCCTTGGGCTTGGAAATGAGAAATGCACTTCTAAACAACCCTTGGATCAAAGAAGAAATCACAGTGGAAATTAGAATGCTGAACCTGAATGATAATGAAAATGCAACATATCAAAATTTATGGGATGCAAATTAGAGAGGCATTGATAACCCTAAATGCATGTATTTTAAAAGATGAAACTATGATCAAGAAAGAAAAAAGAAAATGGTTCTTTGAAGAAACTGGTAAAGTTGATAAAACCCTGGTAAGGAGAGAGGGAGAGAGAGAAACAAATAACCAATGCCAGAATTGAAATGGGGGACATTACTACAGACTTTACAGATATTAAAAAGCTCATAAGGGGGGCTGGCCTGGTGGCGTAGCAGTTAAGTTCACACGTTCCACTTCTGTGGCCTGGGGTTCACTGGTTCAGATCCTGGTATGGACCTACTCACCACTCATCAAGTCATGCTGAGGCGGCGTCCCACATAGAAGAGCTACAACTCTACAACTATGGTATACAACTATGTACTGGGGCTTTCGGGAGAAATAAAGAAAAAGAGGAAGATTGGCAACAGATGTTAGCACAGGGCCAATCTTCCTCAAAAAAAAAAAAACCTCATAAGGTGTATTATTGTGGAAACTGTTATGCTAATGAATTGAAACTTTAGATTAAATGGACAAATTCCTAAAATATATATGTATACACACACACACACTCTTACAAAACTGACACAAAAAGAAATAGAAAATCTGAACAATCCTATAACTATTGAAGAAATTGGATCTGAAATTTTGAAACTTTCCACAAAGAAAGCTCTGAGCTCAGAGAGCTTCATTAGCGATTACAATATACATTTAAGAAAGAAATAAAACCAGTCTTACACAAACTCTTCCGGAGCATAGAAATCGGGAGAGCACTTCCAAGATCATTTTAGGAGATCAGCATAACCTTGATACCCAAACCTAACAAGAACATTATGGAAAAGGAAAATTAAAGGCTAATTTCACTCATAAATTTAGATGAAAAAAGGCCTAGATGAATTATTAGCAAAAAGTTAATGTATCACAACCAAGTTCAGTTTATTCTAGGAATGCTGAGAATTCTAGGTTGTTTTAACATTCAAAAATCAATCAGTGTAATTCACCATTTTAACAAAATTAAAGAAATCATGTAATTTTTTCGAAATAAGAAAAAATTGTTGGATCTATTTCCTGTGATTTCATGGTTTTTAAAAAACATTTAGAAAACTAAAAATAGAAGCAAACTTCCTTAATCTCATAAAAGATATCTACCAAAGCCTATAGAAAATAGTATACTTAATGGAGAAATGTTGAAACTTTTCCTTTTAAGATTTGAAATGAGGGAAGGATGCTGTGGTAGGCTGAATAATGCCTCTCCTCCCAATATGTCCACATCCTAATTCCCAGAATCTGTGCACGTTACCATATATGGCAAAAGGAACATTGCAGGTGTGATTAAATTAAGGATCTTGACCTGGGGAGACTATCCTGCATTATCTAGGTGGTCCGATGTAATCACCATGATCTTTATAAAAGGAACATAGGAGGAATGAGAGAGGAGAAGGTGAAGTGATGATGGAAGCAGATACTGAAATGATGCACTTTGTAAATGGGGCAAGGTGCCTCAAGCCAGGGAATATAGGTAGCCTTTAGAGGCTGAGAAAGGCAAGGAAACAGATCCTTCCTTCAGAGCCTCCAGAAGGAACCAGCCCTGCCAACACTTTAACTTTGGCCCAGTGAAACTGATTTTGGACTTCTAACCTCCAGAACTGTAAGAGAATAAATTTGTGTTATTTTAAGCCACTAAGTCTGAGCAGCAATAGGAAACTAATACAGATGCGCATTCTCAAGACTCTGTTCAACATTGTACTATGGATGCTAGGAAGTGCAATGAGGCAAGTTAAATAAAATGATAAGAATTAGAAAGGAAGAAATGATATGTCACTATGTGTAGACAACATGATTGAGAATATAGAAAACCCAAATAAATCCATAGAAAAACTGTTAGAATTAATAAGTGAATTTAGCAAGTTGTGTAACACAAGGTCAATATACAGAAATTGATTGCATTTCCATACACTAGTATATTAGTCAGAGTCTATTCAGGAGACAGAAACCACATCAATAATTTGAATAGGGAAATTTAATATAAAGAATTGTTAACTAGTAAAAGGTAATTAATTACTAAAAGGGATGAAAGAGAACTCTAAAGAATACAGGGATAGAAGTGTAGGGAGCAGCTACTATCTCTAAGGCTGAGACAGAGTACCCAAGGAAGGAACAAACCTAGGAGAGTCCCCTACTCTCAGCCAAGGCTAAGATTCAGACCTCATTAGTGAGGGTGTGACCGTGGCCCACTGGATGGGGCAGAAGTTCACAGAGGTGTCTCCCACACACAGCTGGCAAGGAAGCAGCCACCTGCTGTGGTGTCTGTGAAATTGACTAGAGAGTGGGTGCCACTGCATTTCCCACACACCTCTGGCAACCATGCTATGCTGTAGAAGCAAGAAGCAAAGCATACCAGAACCATTTCTTCTGCTATCTTAGAGCGTTCTTCGTGTACCCTCCTCTGACAAAGCCTAATGTTATACCAGCTGCCAAAGGAGAAATATTTACAGTGTTCAGCTCCAGTATCACCAAACAGGGCAAAGTAGGGTAGATTTGGAGCTGAGTGGGAATAAATTGATAACTGGGATAGCCAGCAATTAACTTTTAGATAATGAAAATCTTAAAAGATACCCTTCACAATAGATAATCAAGTACTGAGGAAGAAATCTAATGATTGATATATGAGATTTCTAAAATACTATTAAGAGAAATTATAAAGGACTGAAATAAATGGGTGGATATTATTGTGTTCAAGGGCCAAAGTTGTCAAGATATAAATTCTCTTCAAATTGAGCCATAGGTTCAATGCACCAAGGGAGCATGTAGAGAAACATTCTTAGCAGCACTGTTTGTAATAGCCCCAAAATGGAAATAACCCATTGTCCACCAACAGTAGAATGGAAATGTAAATTGTGAATATTCATACCATAGAATACTATACATCAATGAAAATGAAGGCACTACAACTAATGGAACAACACAGCTGAATCTCATGAACTTAGTGTTGAGCAAAAGAAGCTAGACTTCCCCCAAAATATATATTTTATGATTCCTTTTACATATAGATCAAAAAGCGCAAAAAGTAAATTATAGTGTTAGAAATCAAGATAGTGGCTCTCCATGGGAAAGTAGGAAGTGATAGTAATTGTGAGGGGCCACAAGGGGGCCTTTTGGATATTGGCATTGTTCTACTTCTTGTCCTTGGTGGTGGTTACATAAGAATTCCCTTTGTCATAATTCACTGAGTTCTGTGTTTGTTTTGTGAACTTTTCTGTGTGTGTTAAACTTCAATAAAAAAAAAAAATTGTCCTTAGGGGCTAAGTGTGGGGAATGGTCTTGTAGGATTATAAATGGTACTCTTTCTTGAAAACAGTTTGGCAATATATATTAAAAGCTTAAAAAATGTGCATACCCTTTGATCTAGCAATTTCACTTCTATGAATGATCCTAAGGAGATAATGGAATAGTTTCATAGCCATTAAAATGATGATGTAGATCTATGTTTATTAAACAGAGATGGATGTCCATGACTTATTGTAAGTAAAAAATCAGGTTAGAATAAATATGTTTTTTGTGTGTGTGTGTTGCCATATGTAATACACGTATACAAAACAGTGAGTACAATGTGTATTTGGCTCTAAGAAAGAGAAAACATATATACATTTGTTTATATACATAGAAAAACACTAGAAGTAATAACATTATTTTCTGTTAATTCAAAATCATTTCAAATGAGCATATCTTTAATAATCAGAAAAAAATTTATATTTTGAAAAACTACATATAATACTAAGGGATGAAAGGATATTACCTGGGAAATGAGACATGAATAATATGCCAAAATGCTAAAAGTAAAAGTAATCTTTTCTCTTTTATATCCTTTTGTGTTTTCAAATCTTCCATTATAAGCATACCTTACTTTGTTAATCAGAAAAAGGAAAAAAAAATCTAACACCCAAAGTCTGATTGCTTACACCTAACAGTAAGGGAAAGATCTGTGAAACACTGAAGAGTCGTTCCTCCCTCAGAGCCGGGGGGTCTGGTAGGACAAATCATAAAAGGGAGCTGGAGGCACCCAGGCCTCAAAACCCCAGGCTGCCCACTGGCTCCACGGAGGAGGTCGCATTTCTTTATCAAATTATCAACCAATTATATGGGCTTTTTTCTTGTTGTTGTTAGGAAAACTTTCTATGGGCCAGTGGGCTTTTTCCATGGAGAATATCTTGGGGCTGAACTTACCGTGGAGATCCCTGAGTTCGCATCTGGTAACCACAGACAAAGATGGAAATATTGACTACATGTCCAGCTTCCAGGATATCCACATTAAAAAACCTGTGAAAGAGGCAAGTACAACAGCCCCAGCTGAAACCTGGCTGGAGGGCAACACCCTTTTGGACAACCTGTAAGAGTGGCTTAGTCCTTTGAAAAGTTGGGAGTGAAATTATTTCAAGGATGGGAGTGGCAGTCTTAGGAAAGGCCTAAGGGGCTCTCCCAGGTACATTGTGATCTGTTCAGAAAATTTGTGCGTTCTAAGAATAGGCAAAAAGAAAACAGAAGAAAAAGCTTATGCAAGCAAATCCATGTCAAATATGTGATTCTTGTCTTAAGTGCCGTCCAGCAGAAGGGCAGATGTGACATCCATTCTTTCATATAACACACCCCTTAAAATACTCAACACATTCCCTATTAAACTGTGAGTGTATAGACTTACTGACATGACATCTTTATACCTTAAAGATTTTTAAAATTTAGAATCCTTTATTAAAATGGGAATACCCCAGGGAGAAGTGTCAGACCCCCAGTACTTATTAGTTAACAACTCATCAGCAGTTAGATGTAATATTGGGCTGAAAGTGAGCCGATGGGAACTAGGACTGGGGTGACTATTCGCAGGGGAGATGAGAAGCTAAGAGCAAGGGAAGGGAAGTAAAAGTGCAGGAGGAAGACTAAAATATCCACCCGAAGGAGGCTTTTGGCTTCACTTAGGAGGCAGTTTACATGGTGAATAAGCTCGTAGGCCTTGGCTTCAGGCAGCCGAGACTCAAATCCCACTTACCAGCTGTGTGAACCTTGGGAAACTTACTTTACCTCTCTGTTTTCTAATCTGTAAAATGGACATAATAATAGTTCTGTTCCTTGGGGCTGTTGTTGAGGACTGAATGAAATAATCAACAGAAAGCTCTCAGGGCAGAGCCTGGCACACAGATGTTCTCAGTAAATGCTGCCTATTATTTACTGTTTCCTGGTTCGCTTTGGCCCTGTCCCTGAGGAACACAGCCTTCAGATGCTTCAGAACACCAGAGCATGGGCTTTTATCTGATTAAAGCAAAAAGCCTGCCTTCTCAAGTTTCTATCTAAATCACATACTCTGAATTGGTGATGATGCTTTGTGTTTGTTACGTTTACTAAAATTGATGTGTTATTAATTTCATATATTTTAACACTTAGAAAATCTTTATTTTAGGTTCAGTCTACTCTAATTGAAACTCTGTACAGATACCGAACTGACCTGCAAATCATCTTTAATATCATTGACTCTGATCACTCAGGTAAATGAACTTTGATTAGTTCAGTAGCAGTAGAAAGCGAAGACTAGTCTGCTTCTCTGAAACCAGAACTCGTTTTTCATCTACTGCATTCTTCATCCAAACTTGATTTAACTCGGGGTGTATGTGTGGGGGGAATAAACTCATATTTAATATTATTGTTATTTTAGTTTGGCCATACACTCTGTCTTCAAGACCATATGGTCCTATATAGGCCTATGTATCCATTAGTGAGACAAGAATAGCTCCTTTTATAAATCACCAGCACAGATGAAAAGACAATTCACTGTCCATGTAAACATCGTAGTTCCTCTTGGCAATACAAATCGTTCCTAGAGTTCTGATTCTGTTTTTGGGACTGAGGGGTGTGAAAGCTCATTTTCTGCTTAGCTTTGATGCACAATTACTTATTTTCGAACTTTAAAAAAATCATCAGATAATCCCCAACTGCAGAGACCATTGAACACCAAAAACACAATAATCAAAACACAAAAGTAAATTATTGCCTATAAAAAATGGCAGAGCCATTGTTTGCAATCCTCTTATCGAGTCCTAGGGTATATTCTCCCTCTGCTTTGATGTCACTCTCCTCTCTGCCCTCCATCCATGCTCCTCTCCCTTAGACTTTAGATCTTGTAATTTCTATACCACATATAGTCCCACAGTCCACAGCCTCCCCCCATTCCTTCACTGTCTACTCATTCCAGCTTTAGAATAATCTCAGGATCACTTGGTAGTCGAAAGTGACATATTGTTTCCTATATTTACAGTCTTACTTTTCCATTTCCTCCAGTGTCTTGATGGTCAGGCATGTTAGTGAGCTTCTAATTGGGACTACTCAACAAGTATGGCTTCCCCACTCCTACCTTAGGTGGGTTTTAAATGAACACTCACAGCCTTCTTCTCTATTCTTTTAGGCCTGATCTCCATGGAAGAATTTCATACCATGTGGAAACTTTTCAATAGTCACTACAGTGTTCATATTGATGATTCTCAAGTTGATGAGCTCGCCGAAAGAATGGACTTGAACAAAGATGGAAGCATTGACTTTAATGAGTTTTTAAATGCTTTCCATGTAGTGCATAAATTTGATAGGTTGCACGAATCAGACACTCAGCTTGCTTAACAAGAATTAGGGCTTTCCCTCCTTGTGAACAGTTGGACCCAAATCACTGACACAATCTTTTCCAGGACCTTTGAAATTCAGTCAGTAGTAGAGAAAAGTAGACCCCAATCCACGTCACGAGCATATGTATAGTGTGGGTATTGGAAGTCCCTAGTAAGCTGTTATTGGGAAGACTAGGTTAAATGTCAGCCGATAGGATTTGGCTCCGGTGTTAGAACCCACACACTGCCAGGTAGAAACTGGGTTTGAGTCTAATGTTGGTCTCTTGGATGCTACCTAAACAGGAGACCAGAGCAGTTTGGAAATATATTGAAAGGAACCCACAGAACACCAGAGAAAAGTACAACATCTGTGAGTGGCTGAGGGATGACAGGAGGAATACCGAACTATTAATGGAATAAAATATTTCCGGCTTCAAAACATTTCCATCTGTAATCTTCTTTGGGGATACCATAAGCCAGTGATTCTCAATTGTGGGGAACCACCCTTCAGGGATGGGGGCCATATCAGATTCTTGGGGAAGCTGTGGAAGTGTATTGTTTGAAAAAGCATTTTTTTTTTTGTCTGTTGGAGATACAAAGTGAATACATTCAGATTGAGCCCTACAATTAATATGGTTTGACACCTTCATTGGTAAGATGGGGCCTTGGTTATGCATACATTGTGCAGTTTATTCTGCTATTCTGATTGCATATCAAACATAATAAGAGATTTCTGTTTAAGGGCCAGTATGTTTCATTTTTTCCTGAGTTTGAGAACTTCAAGATCTATCAATATGCCAGGTTAGATATCCTGCAAACCTGCCTGCTACACACCAGAAATAATGGATGAAATATAACAAATATCTTTTTTAAATGCACAGCTGAGCTGGAAAGAAAGTAAAAGAAAGCCCTAGAGGGCAGGGAAAAAAGAGCATAATTAAAACCATAGCAATATTCACATCAGATGGGATAGACTTTAAGACAATATCATTAGGGATAAAAAATGTCATTACTGAAAGCTAAAAGGAACAATTCACCAGGAAGATATAAGAATTATAAACTTACATGCTTCTAATAACAGAGCTTTAAAATTTATAATGCAAAAATTGACATTACTAGGAGAAATTAATATAGGGAGTTTTTAATATACCTCTGTCAGAAATTGATCATATAAATAAAAATTAGTGTACAGAAGATCAGACAACCCAATTCACCTGATCGTGTGTGTGTGTGTGTGTGTGTGTGTGTACACTCTGCAATCAATTTTAGAGAATACACATTATTTTCAAACACACACGGAACATTTATAAAAATTGATCATGTATTAGACAAGGAAACATATCTCAAATACCAAGCAATCAAAGATACTACATTCTCTGATCATAATGCAATTAAATTAGAAACAATATAAGAAGATAACCATATTAATGAGTGAAAAAGAAATATAACTGTAGCTCTACCAGAAATTGCTAAAAATAGTTCACAAGAATACTGTGAATAAATTTATGCCTATAGTTTAAAAAAATAGGTGAATGGATTATTTCCTAGGGAAAAATATAATTTACTAAATCTAACTCAAGAACAAAAGGAGGGTCTGAAGAGACATATAACCATCAAAGAATGTGATGGCTTTGTAATGTGTCATTTTGGCTAGGCTGAACTACATTTCTCAGAATTCCCTTTGTTGTATGTTTCTAGTTAAGGGAGGCCGCAAGGGAGATTCTTCAGAGATTTGGAAGGCAAGGAGAAGCCGTAGCCATTGTGTAGCTCCCACATGCTGTTGCTGAGCTGCTGATTCACCTTGTTGGTGTGAAGAGGCAGCTAGGCCTGCAATTGCTCTACATTCCCCTGGATCCTCTGTCAGCGTCTCTAATTCCTGGGCCAGGTGTGTGTGTTTCGCTCCATGATGCGATTCCTGGGCCAGGTGTGTATGTTTAGCTCTGTGATAAAGGGCCCTGGCTTCTTCAGGATGACCTCATCACCAAGGCCAGACCCGATGAGAATGGACTCAGGCTTCAGTCTGTTCTTGTGGGATGCCAACTTTGCTCGTGGGTTTGCGCCTGCTCCTGATCTTCCCCTGCTGACTGCCTGCCCTGTGGACTTTGAGCTCCAGCATCTACAGCCTTACTCCCACATTTGCATAAGCCACTTCTCCTACTGCTTTTATGTACACGCACACATACGCACACACACACACATATATATATATCTCCTACTGGTTTGGCCTCTGGTTGAACCCTGACTGATACAGAATTTGGTACTGAGAGTGGTTCCAGAAGAACGGAATCTTAAAGATTAAGTGCACTGAATGTGTACGACCTGACGTGTACAGAGCTTCCATCCCATTATCTGACATGAAAATCCACTGATGATCCTGGGATAGTGGTTTTAAGAAATGTCCAGTCTCTACTGGAGGAGTCTTTTTTTGTTGTTTCCTGAATATCTTTTGGTTATTTATTCTCAGGGTTCTTTCTGGAACTCACGTTTTCTCCCTTGGGCTTCTAATCTCTGGAATTAATTATATGCCTTTGTTGGAAGTTTTACCTAAAAATATTTTGATTTTACTAGATTGTCATTTAATGTTGTAAAACTTCTGCCTGACACGAGTTGTGCTTAATCACGCTTCAATTTTACATTTATTAGTTTGTTGGCCAGTCTGTTTTCTCCTAAGAAAATGCTTATTCTTATCCTTTGCTTATTTTTCTAATAGCCATTTGTCTTTTTCGTATGGATTTCTAGGAACTCTAAAACTCTTCTTGATACAATCCTCTGTTCTTTGGGAAGCAGATATCTTCTCCCAGTCTGTGACTTGATTTTCACTTTCTTTGTGACATATATTTTCAAGCAGAAGTTTTAAATTTCAATTTATCCAGTTTGTCAGTCTTTTCCTTTATAATTTGTGCTTTTTGCATGTCTAAAAACAAAAATATCCTTTCCAACCCTGGAAATATCAAAAAGATACAGTCGATCCTTATTATTCGCAGATTGTGTATTTGCAAATTCACCTACTGGCTAGAATTTATTGGTGACCCAAAATCAATATTTATGGCGGCCATGTGCAAAGTAGTGCAAATTTTGATTGGCACGTGTTCCCAGCTGAGGTCAAACACGCCACTGCTCTGCCTTCTTGTTCCAGCTATCCTACTGTAAACAAGTGTCCTTCTCGCGGTTTAATTAGTGCCACGGTTTTTGTATTTTTCTGCTTTTTGTGGGTGATTTTGCTGTTTAAAATGGCCTCCAAACATAGTGCTGGAGTGCTTTCTAGTGTTCCTCAGTGCAAGAAGGCTGTGAGGTGCCTTATGGAGAAAATACACGTGTCAGATAAGCTTCCTTCAGATATGAGTTACGGAGTGCTGCTGGCTGAGAGTTCAGGGTTAATGAATCAGCAATATATACTAAATGAGGTGTCTTTAAACAGAAACACACATCAAAAAATGTTATGTGATTGATCGTTTGGTGAAAATGTTGTGACCAGAGGCTCTCGGGGACCTAACTCTGTATTTCCCAGGAGCAATCCTTCAGTGTTGGCAAATTCAGTGCTCGCAGCAATTATATAGAACATTAACACAAGTAACGAGAACTGTCTTCTCCAAAAGTTTTGCTTTTCAACAGCATTTGGCTCTTTCATCCACTGGACATGCTTTGGGAGTGTGATGTGGAGGCTCCGTTTATTTTCCCATTAATTTGGAATGCCACCTCTGTCACACAGCGAGCTCTGTTTCTAGGCTCTCTGTTATGATCCATTGTCTTTTTGGTCTGTCCTCTCGCGAGTACTTCGTGTATGAAATACTGCAGCTTATAATAGTCTGATATCTGGTATTACGAGTCCCTTCCCCTCCCCCACCTTTATTCTTCTTCAAAATTTCTTTGATCCTTTGGTCCTCTGTACACATTTTAGGATCAGCTTGTCAATTCTGTGAAATCCCCTGTTGGATTTTGATAGGATCTTCATCAAATTTATAGATTAATCTGGAGAGAATTGCCATCTTTACTATATTGAGTCTTCCTATCTATGAACATGGTGTATTTTTTCAATTATTTTAGTTTTCCCTAATGTCTTTTGATAAAGAATTTCTATCATTCTTATAGTCTTTTTTAAAAGATTTATTTCAAGATGCAGTATGGGGTTTTTTGGTTCTATTTTATTTTTTTCAATTCTCCTTGCTCTCTTTTCATACGGTTTGGTTCTAAGGATTTGATTGCTTCCTTTCTAGTCTTTAGTCATCTTACAGGTATTTCTTTTGTGATCTCTTTCTGGTTATCTTGCGTGTTTGGAGTTCACAGGGGTATAATTGTATGTTGGTCGTGTGTGCAGACTCTTGATCAGGTTGGATCAGGTTCACTCATGGGCGTTGTCATTTTTTATTGTGAACTCATCATTAGCAGGGCTTGTATTTTTTTCTGTGAAAATCCCCTGATATCTGGGATGTGGGAGCATCTCTCCAGAGAAGTATTTGTTTGCTTCTGCCTCGTATCTCAGGAGCATCACTGCTTGAGGAATAATTCTTCTGTTACTTTTTAGTCTGGAGTTTCTGAACTATGTGGGTAGAGTGAAAGCAGTGTGAATTGTGGTCCCGGGGTTTTGAAGTCTCAGAGAGCTTTTCTTTTTTTCCCACCCAATGTGCTGTGTCCTGTGGTCTCTCTTGTTTTTAAATCCTTTCATAAATAGAATAGTCCTTTGAGGGTCTTGGCTTTATGCAGAGCTCTTCTTTCCAATTCCCTACCTCCCAAAGCCTGAAGCCTCCTTTGCTCCTGGTGTGTGGGAATTAACACCAAACCCCTAGGTGCTGGAGACAAATGCCCCCCCTTAGCTCAAGCACTGCCCTCTCTGCTTTTTCACTTCCCTCTTTGTTTCTGGCCCCTGGGGATCTGCTTTCATTATTTGTGAGCCTAGCTGTACATTTAAAATAATTGTGTTACATTTTACCCAGTACTTCTAGGTGATTATAGTAAAAGGATTTTCAAGTTGTCTGAGTCTACCATATTGCTAGAAGCCGATAAATAGACTTTTTGTATCCACTGCTATTTGTTAATAATCTTGAGGCTTCGTATTTTTACCTGGACAATGACTGAATGTTCATAATACGCTGTGGAGCTTGACTTGTGCAACATATGTCATTTACTGGGTCTCAGTTTTTAAACTTTGGTAGAACTTATTTCTGAATAATTTTCTTCTTTAATGTTGTTTTTACATAAATTGGACCATATTATACATTTTTTTAAACAGCGGCACATTTTTTTCCATTTCACCTTTCCTCCCCTAACATAAGCATGGCCCTCATCATCCCTTCTCCCCCCCAGGGAAGCTGTGTTAACTTACTATATGGCCTTCCATATTTTTTGTGTGTGTGTGAGGAAGATCAGCCCTGAGCTAACATCCATGCCAATCCTCCTCTTTTTTTTTGCTGAGGAAGACTGGCCCTGGGCTAACATCCGTGCCCATCTTCCTCCACTTTATATGGGACGCCGCCACAGCATGGCCGGACAAGCGGTGCCTCGCTGCACATCTGGGATCCAAACCCCGGGCCGC